GAATGCTGACGCAACCAAACTTCTGCAGGAGATAACTTTATCTTCTTTATAGGATCATTCTAATAATACATAAATAAAAATAATAGAATATTAGTAAAAAAAATAAAAAATAAAGTAACAACTCATTTGTTAATTATCAACCAATAGATTACTTAATTCAACAAAGAGCTGGGTGTGAGGAGGCTGAAGAAGGTATTAGAAATGCAACTAAGGAAACCCAGAGCCAAAAATATCAACAAGGGAGGTTATGGTATTCTGGAAGGGATGAGCACTGTGAAACCCGACACGGTCGTGGTGTCGACACTTTATTAGGGTGTCGACACCAAACGGAAGAACTGAGCCCCAAATCTCCGACACAGACATGGTGTCGACACCCAATATAGGTGTCGAGACCTAACGGAAGGGCTATTTGACTATATAACTCTTGGCTTTCAAACTGAGATGTTTACGGGTTTGAGGTACCCTTGTACTCCGTATCAATAAATATTACTTTTGCTTTTCAAAAAAAAAAAAATTCAATAAAAAGCTTACCAATCTAGCTTCAAATTCCTCAAACGATACATTGCCGGTAGTATGAATTATTTTCCTCTTTCTGGCATTGTTGGAATTTCACTTGCTTTTTTTCTATATAAAATAAAGTACATCAAAATATTATTGTCAACATTTGATGAAATGCTATAAGCTTTATCCGTTTAGGTGAGAATCTTGTTTCCGTTTACATTAATTGCCCTGATAATCAAGATTGCTCTCTGTATGGGTTTGATTTTTGTGCCAATTATGTTGGTCTTGTGTGGTTTGGATTATTGTTGTTGTGGAATTTGTGGGTTTTGGGGTTTTGAGTATTGAATGATTATAAGTCTTATTATTTTTGCACTCAAAGTGTTTGATGAAATGCTTGTGAGGGGCATGGTTGTTGGTCATAGTTTATTCACTTTAGAGTTCTGCATGGTGGATTATTGGTCAGAATTTAATTTGACTCTGTAGTTTCAATTTTTTGTAGGGCAGATCAATTTCGTCATTAATGTGAAGGCGTAGGAGATTGAGAAATTCAATTAGAATTGTCAAGAAAGTCACACCATTGCAACCCCCAATCACACTCAAGTCCGGCAGCCAACTGTGGGTCTGACACATCATGAACATCTTATTACTACACATCAAAACATGGGTGAATGTATACAGTCACCAGGTAAAGTATGATTATGTACTCAACCTCTCTAGTATGATTCTTTAAATTTTAATTGTCTGAATATTATTTTGACAAGCCTTCCTCACTATATACACCTACCCTCAATGCAATGAGACTCTGCTTTCTTGGTTAATCAAAACAAGCTTGTTTGTGGTCTTATACTAGAGTTTTGAAATGGTCAAATTCTGCCTGGTGTGGTTTATAGATATGTGGTTATTAACTAAGGGCACATCATCTAGGGACAACGAAACTGATAAATTTTAATAGGCTGAATAGAAGACAAACACAGGATTGACTCTGAACATCAGGATTTATTCAGCACAAAGGCTCAAGCTTTAATTCAAACACAAAACACAATTCTCAACCTTGATCCAAACTCAGTTTTAACAGATTCTAAAAGATCTCTTAGTAATCAAATGGATACTGATCTATCCACTAAACCTCCACCATTTTTCGCCATTCAAAGTTCACTCTTCCCTGATACCATTCCCTAACAAACACAACCGGTTTTACCATGAGAAATTCAATTCTACCTAGTATGTTTTAAAAGGAAAATTACTTGCATGATTTGATTAAGGTGGTAAAATGTCTAAAGCAAAACAGGAGAAGCAACTACAGAGTACTCTGTTTTCCTGTTTTTCATTCCTTTCATCCTTCATGTTCACCCAACAAAAACTACCAAAACAGTACATGCAAATAAGATTGGTTAAAGTGGAAGCTGAAGTCAGCTTAAAGTGGGATGCAAGATGGTTGCTCTCATCTTGCTAGTGGACACTTTCCTTATAAAAGCTGGTCCAACGATAGGATAATAGAGTCTGAGACCCTTCCTGTTCTAATTGTTTTATCTCATTATGGGAGAAGCCGCAACAGTGATACTCTGTTTTGTTTTAAATCAAGCACATCAATAGATATCACTGTGACCTGCATAAAATTTACATCCAAAAGGGATCCTTGACAAAGTTGTAGACAATGGTGTTAACATGCTTCCTTTGAACTTCTTTTGAAATACTATTGGGTTTTCAATT